TATTTCTTTTCTACACTGAATCCTTCCTGTACCTTCATCTCCCATCTTTCCTCCCAAGTACACCAGAAAATTTAAGTTGCCTCATAGGGCTTTCCTCAGCTGTGGGAAGGTGGGGATGTGAAGCACACCCTGTAAAATGTCTGTCAAACCAAACAAGCAATTTCCAGAGGGTTTCTAACACCTACCAGTTGTTATGGATATCGCATTATTATCACAGTTATTTAAAACAGTTTTAGATTAGCTAAATGTCAATCTCGCAGCAACTGCACAACCTTCAGGACATCTCGTGTATATGACAGACTCACAACTGCGAAGTGATTACTTAAAGAAACTCCATACGTCTAAATAAGCAGGTGTTGATTGCTTCCTTTATGGGGGAAGGGAAAAAAAATAAATTACCAAACAGGTTCAGCTATTCAGATGTGTTATTTTGGTTTCTATTAGTTTTTCTTTTTGAGCCTGAAAGCACACAAGACCAATTTCACTACTGTTTGCTTTCACATTTCTGGTGTACTGGCTAAAAATAACCACTTCGTTGGTTGGAGTCTTTAAAAAAAATTCTCACAGACTTCAGTATTTTAAATTTTAACAGCATGGATTTTGTTTGAGGCACAAATCAGAGGTCACAAAATCAGCTTAAGAGTCTTTGTACAAAGTCTGATTTGAAAATGTTGACAGTTCTACTAGAACAACCAACCAGCATCTTCTTCTGTTCAGTTTGTGAGTGTGGTCTTCCCTTATACACTAAACCTATGACAGATTTCTCATATATGTTAAAGTGATGAAATAAATTCAACAGGGATTGGGCAGAGCTGTGAAAAAAAAGAAGGTTTCTTTTTTTCCAGTGGCACGCAGAGGCTTACGGTAGATAACGCAGATACAGAAAGTTCTGAGAAAGTGTAATGAGAGAGACACGACTCAGGAGGTACATGTGTAAATACAAATGCCCCAGTCACCATACTGTGAAGAACCCACACATAATTAGCAGCACAAATTCCTATTTTGTAAGACACAGCTATTTATGCTGGTTTATCTTGTACTGAGGCATAGTCTCAAGTATGTGATAATACATTCTGTCACCATGGAAAGGAACGTATATAATGTAATACCAGAGAATAAATTAAAACATTATATGCTGGCAAAGCTCCCACTCTTCTTTCAGCACAAATAAGGATTTAAAAATATGTAGAATGTAAACACAAATTTTCAGACTAGTGCCTGTGTTCCCCCTCCCCCACCTAATTTTCACCTAATTATTACTCACTCTGATTTTGTTGAGTCTCTAAGTTGAGCTGAGCTAGTAGTCTCTAACTATTCAATTAGGTATACTCAATGAAAGCCTGGGCAGAAAGCTATTGCTATTTCACCCATGAAAGGCATGGCTTCTCCCTTGATATTTTTAAACTGCGTAGTGTTAAGCAGTAAAATCCTGTTCATCCTACATCAATGCATACAGTGAAATCAAGTAAGATACCCTCTTTGTGAGGGGACCAGGATTTCATCCAAGATTGCACTACCATAAGGATATTGATCATTCTGTAGAATTTGTACTCCTACACCTCTATGCCCGAAACAGAAACAGAAGTTACTGCTTTTCTGCTGGAAGTTTCCATGTAGTATTCTACACAGATTTACACACGAATACGGCTTTAATTAAACATAAGTTGACTCCTACCCAGAAATTGCTGCTAGTTTTTGATGAGCCTGGTAGGCCATCTCACATCCCCGTGTTCGAGTTTTGTGCAATTCCGCATGCAGAGACGGACAAGTGACAGAAACATCCCCAATGGAAATAACCAGCTCCCGATACAGAGCCACCTGGGTATTGAACTCCTGGACAAGCTGAAAAACAAAGAGGATTGACAGACATGAGAAGTTTTAACAACAGTGGTAAAAACAACCAAGTCTTTTAAAAATATGCCCCATCAAGGGCTTGTTCCCGCTGCTCACAATTTCATGGCATACAGGATCAAGAGCCCAAGACTCAGTAAATGACTAGGGCCTCCGTGGCAGCTGCCTCTTCTATGAGCTATAACTGCTCATTTGCAGTAAAGTAGTGTTTCTGCTTTTAATATCTGAAAGTATTTGAGTTATTAGTAATAAATATTAAGCAGACAAAAACCCAGCTGTTTTACTAGTAGCATGAGGTTATTTTTTGCTGTCATGAAAGACAAAAATATCTCCAGAAATGACTGCCTTTGCTCCTCCTGCTTCCTGATTAACAGCACATTTAGGGATTAGAATGTAGCATTTGCTTTTACATTGGCATTTTGTTAATTTATACTGCAATGATTTCTGTTCTGCCACTTGCCTCCAGCCCAGAATTCAGACTTAAACCTGATCTGCAGTTATTGGCTGAGAAGATGTACCTGATAGGCGCTTTGCTTTTAAAATTCCAGAAAGCACTTTTTCTAACATTCGTGTGGGAAAAAGACACAAAGAAGTAAATAAACACTTCAACCTTTACAGAAATCCAATATCCAAGAGATACATATGGATGCTATCGGATAAATCTTTCCACTGCTTTCACAGTGATGGAAAGATCATTATTGTTTAGTTCCACTGATCACGTACAAAGGATTATATTTTAAGGAAACGAAGCATTTGCTGCCTTCTGAAAGAAAGCACATAAGACCATTTGCTCCACATGGTGGCGGGGGCGGAAGGCATGGAGTAATAGAACAGAGTATTTATTTATCTGTGTTTTGACCTATATTTCCAAACTACATAAAAACAGACAAGAGTAATTGCTCATAATTCTGCAGTCATCATTACCACCAGGAGTTCAACATACCCTAAAGCACAAGCATGCTAAGAACCTGAGGTCTATCAGAGCTACCAAATTTGAAAGTCAAATCCTAAAATTCTCATGCTCAGGAAATAAATGAGTGGCTTCTCTACAGAATTACATTCTGGCTCTCCATGCATCCCACTGCAATTACCCTGTACAGCTGAGAATTGGTATCAGGACGGGTTTTTGGCCATGCTTCCTTAAATTTAATCATAAGAATAGCAAATAGGTTTCTCTGCTTCTGGAGCAGCAAAGCAGTCCAAGTGCATTTCAGTGCATCTGCACCCTCCTGCCCCCAAACAAACCCAAAAGCACACACCAAACAAAGCCCCAGGCACATTATTTGCTTAGGTCTTCACCTCTGTAATTCTGTAGCTTAAGAGAATACATGAAAGCAATGGAGAGGAAAAAACGTTTTACCCGGTTGTGTCACGGTGTGATTATTCTGCATTAGGAAACAGAGAAAAGTGTTGCATCCTGCAACTGGTAACTGGTTGCACCAGACACATTTTGCCAGGTCTCACCTGACATCCCTTGCCTACACAGACTCATTCAGCCACCTCAGCATTGCCCAGGAAAACAAAACCACACTGACGTTGCTGAATCGAGACAGAGAACAACAAAAAAACCCACACTGATTTTACCTCCTGAATCTTACTGCAACTTGACAATCCATCTGTAAAGCATATTTTATTTCTAATCAGTGAATTCTACAGACGTAGCACTTCTCTCTAACTAACCACATTATGCTGTCAGGAATGAGAAAAAAAGGCAGAACCCATAAGATCCACTTGTTGGGTGTATTTATAGAGTTACTGTAGCAGCTTTTGTTCCTCTGTGTACTGGGAGTTGCTCCCAATTTTGAAGTATCAGAGTGGATAATCTGCCAGCACATTTTTCAAGTACTAGAAGAAAAAAATTGCCAGAATCCAGCAGAACAGAAGTAGTAGCTCCATTTCCAGTGTTACCAGACAGAGCTTTAGCAAGGTGCAGATTTTTCAAGTAGCAGCAACTTCGTTGGTTTTCTCTTAGAGGGGCAACTTGGGGGCCCAATGTGTGGCTGGCTGGCCGCAGCTAAAGGAGCCAGAAAGAGGATATATGGCACCGGTTTGGAGGAAAGTGCCAGGATCCAAGCATTTTGAACATAAATAGGGGAAAATGTCATACCACAACGTGACAGTCCAAAAATAACACGGACGCAGGTGTTTGACCTGAGGCTTTATAATTGCAACCAGCTACTCCGGGAAGGCTGGTAACAGGTCCCACATTACACCAGGGACAGAATTTCAGGGCCTCAAATTCTGAGCCCTGTTTTAGAAGGATTTTAGGGCAAGAGTGTGGCAGCAAGCAGAGAGTGCAGCGAA